GTCTCTGTATTAAAGGGCAAATGAACATATGAGGTTGGTAGTGGCTTGTGGTATTAAACAGATAGGCTGCTTCATCTTGTGCACATTGAAATTCTATTTCAGTCCAGCAGACTTAGTTAAAAGGTGAAATAAACAGGCTTGATAATCACAAAGGTTTGGATCTTCATTCTCTGAGACATCCACGTTAGTGACAAACCCTTTGTTGACTCTCAGAAGCTTGACACAGAGTATAGAAGGCATGGAGCTTTAGAACAGGGTAATCTGGGTTTGCTGCACCCTTATGACAAATCTGCCATACACCTGACACAGACTCTAACAGCACTGACAATCTAATAAATCAGTCATGGGTAATGCAGGCTGAAAGCTGCTTCAGGGAAAAAAAAAAGAAAAGAAAAAGGCAGGGACTTGAGAACAAATCAGGAGCAGGTTCCTTTCTTCCCATGGCTGTAAGGCAAACTGATTAAAAGTCTCTGTGTCTTCTTAGTAAACTCACTGCGAGATATTCCCATCTTCCTGATACAGCACAAATGCCAGCAAGTTGCGTGTACAGACTGAAATTATTCCTAAACAAAGGGAAAAGAAGTCTAGCCAGGTGGCAAAGAAATCATCTGGGAAATTGGCTGATTCCACCCAAAACACTGTCATGACAGAAGAATAAAATTTCAAGAGCAAAGTTAGGACAAAAGAAATTTGACAAAATTATGATCATCAGGATAAAAGTTCTTTCTGGTTCAGACTCTGAGTTTGTCAAGCTAGGGGTTTTTCCTTGGAGTCACTTTCCAGTTTTAATAGAGAGGCTTCTCCAAGCCAGGTTAGCTGCAGAGTTTGGGAAGTTGTGGAGTTACCTGTCACACTGGAAAGTAACAACAGAACTGGGTCTGACACAGAGAAGACAGGGAAGAGTGTAATTCTTTGAACTCTGAAGAGGTCAGCTAAGATGTCAAATTGGAACTGAGTTGCCTGGGACTCAGGCAGAGGCAGAAAAGAAAGGAAATTTGTATCTTGGTTTAGGAGCAGAGACAGAACACATCCTCTTGGGTATGGGAGTGGGGCTGGAGAGGAGACAGGCACCGGCTGTGCTGCTGGAGCCAGCTCCACCTCTGCAGGAGCTCCTGCACCTCTGCTGACAGCGCAGGGCCTGGGCTTTTATAAAATAACTCCACAAAGCATCTGTGTGTTCCTCTTCCTGGGAGAAACTGGCCAAAATCCCCCAAACCCAGAAGAAATAGATGGGCAGCAATATAGAGGACAGAGCAATGTCTGTGTCCTTAAAACCTTCCTGTCCAAACCTGCCCCTGAGCTCCTGTTCTCAATCACAGTGACAACTTCTTTCTGAATAAAGTTCATTAATTTTGGATGTGGCAGCTCCTACCTACAGCTCCTGAGTGTGAATTAGTTTGCCCAAGTATAAACAGTAATCTTAGAGGTACATATTGTTATGCATATTTTGTATATTCTGATAAGTCCTGCTTTTTCCCTGAATGATATTAATGTTAAAAAATTAATTGAGAATAAAGATGCAGTATAAGGTCCACAGAGCATATCATTAGCTACAGCTTTTGTAGTTAAATAATTAAAAGGCAAAATAATTCTATGCATAATTCCATGTTCCTTTATTTATGTATATGTAGTATTGCAAAGCCTTTCTCATCTGGGATGTGGTGTATGACTTGGCAGATCCTCTCAAATTGTCTTCAGCTTGAAATGAGCCCCAGATTTTCCTCATTTCCACCCATCCCAGCTGTTGTGTCAGTGATCCATGGGGAGCAGGGTTTTCTGGCAGGAAGGCTGAGCATTAAATACCCACAGAGACCAGATCATGCTCCTCTCCCTAGGGCTGGTGTCCCTCAGTCAGAATTAGTGGCTTCTGCTGTTGTAATTATTTGTGGATAAATCAAAGAATGAGATCTGCAGGCACCCAAAAGTGGGGCATTTCTGATTCAGAACTGCTGATTTTAAAAAGAGTAAAGATGTTGTATTTATCTGTTCTACAGGGGGAACATGCACTTCTTTAAACTAAAATGACACTTCATAACATGAGAGAAAAAAACCCTTTTAAAACTAAATGGTATTTTCCCCTTATGAAATGCTGAATATTTTCCCTTTAAAGCAATCTCTAATTTGAGCTCTGGTTTTGAGGTGATGTACTCTGGTGATGCACTTATGTGCAAACATACCCATGTTCAATGGAGCTTGTAAGCTGTCCCATCTTTTTGGCAAAACTTAAGAGTGGCAAAGTAGACCCCCAAAAAATAACCTTATATGTTTTTCAGTCTCCTGCTTTCTAGGCAGAAAAAGTGTAGGGGGCACTTTTTGTCTTGAAAACATCACAAACCCTAAGAAACTCCTAAAAGAATAGAGGCAGTGATTAATGTTTAAACATCCACATGAGTGAATATTGTAAGCCATGGATGAGTTAAATCTGCCAATTACTGTGCTCTCAAAAAGGTTTATATTAAGCAAAAACCCCCTCCTGCCTAGTGGCTCTGTTTGCTATTCCCATAAAGAGAGATCATGATTTATTATTCCCTATTTATTTTGGGTTTAATAGGGTTTTGAAATAAGTATTCAGCAAACAAAGAATATTGGAAGTCACAATGACAATTAGAAGTTAGAACTAAGTAACTCATAACTTCAGGTAACTGTACTGAGCTGGTACAATTTTTTGGTAGAGTGCAGTTACTAAGGCTTCTGTCTTTAGCTCCTTGATGTATTTTTGGACATATAACAGAAGCAGTGGCTTATAAGACAAGGTTTAGAAAAATAAGACTTTTTTTTTGTTTTCAAGAAAATGTCCCTATTGGGTAGCTTTCAACAAGGTGTAAAACACATATGAAATTCTAAAGAATATTTTTTCTCTTAGCCAAGAGCTTGTTTAAAGCACAATCAGGGAGTAAAGTAATTGTCATATCTAGGGAGTTTTTAGCAAAGCACATTGAAAAATCAAGGGAAACAAATTAGTTAAGTGCTGAAGTGACAGTGAGAAAAGGAAGAGTGCTAAATTCATCCTTCAGAAGGGAGAGTTACACTGACATGACCTGTGAGCCAAAGCAGCTGTAGGTTACCCTTAGTTTGGTATCAGAAACTGGAGCTCGAGTGTTGCAATTTATTAGCAATTGTTCCTCTTTTCTAACCACACATGAACAATCCTCAGTGAGCCCAAACCATTTTTGAGTTATCTAAAAATAGATGGGGGTGAAGGTTGTCTCAAATAGTCCCTTCTAGAAATACAGTGAGAGACTGCAAGGCATGGAAAGCTGTTTTAGATTTTCAAATCCAATCTTGGCAAGCAGTTTTGATCATTAGCATTGTTTCTGGTAGGCAGGGAGGAAAAGTAATAGAAATCTTTTTTATTGATTGGGACTGTGCTTGAAGAGAGGTGTAATTGCCACCCTAAATTTAATCTTGTAGATACACATTGGGTGCCAATGTTCTCTTTTAGTATTAATATCTTCCAGGAACTTCTAAAAAACTTCATTTCATATTAACATTGCTGATTGTGGTCTAGATCAGTGTGTATCAGTAAAATACAGGAAGGATTTTTGAAGTCTGGTCCTTTGTCTAAGTGATTGTAGGAAACATTCAAGCAGCGTCGAGTGTAATTTCCTTTTTTAATCTTTTGTATTTGGGATACTGTTTACACTGGAGCAGTTGGTAACATAAAATGAAACTTCAGAAATAAAGAATAGAAAATCATCTATTGGAGAACAGAATACATAGATTTAAAAGCAATTTTTGCTGTATTAGCTAAATGTGAGGGAAAAATGCTACTCTTAGAAGCATGGCAAAAGGAAGGATGAGTGTTTCAGTGAATTATAGTAGCTACAGTTTTTCCAAGCTTTTTAAAAAAGACTTAATTTGAAGTATTCAAGCATGTCACGGTCAGGCTTTTTTATTCTTATAAATTGACAGCAAGAGTCAGATCAAATATTGCGCCTAGTTACTGTTACAGTCCTGAAGGTTCAATCAAAAAATCCTTGCTTGTATCATTGTTCCCCTAAATTTCTTCAGGAAGAGTGAGGGAATATCAAAACTCCTGTATTCCTCAATCAAGGCATCCCAGATTTCAGTCTATATTTGTTCTGAATCTTCCAGTAAGAGAAACACAAGGAGAGGGTGGATACCCAGGAGGTTTAGGATTTATCTTACTGCACCTGAGTTGTCCAAAGTGACAGTTTAGGACTCTTTTTTCCCAATTGAACTTGTTTTTATTCCCTTTTTCACACTCCTTTCTCCTCTCCCCTGTTTTTCCACATCAATACCTCTGCTTGTGATGAAACACATGGCCATCGGTAGGTGAGACAATGGTAGATTTCTCTAAATCTGAATTTTGTAGATTGAGCTGTAAATTTCTGACCCCACCTAGATTTTCCAGTGTTTTACCAAATGTATGATTAGAAGGATGGTTTTCTAAAGTGCTTCCAGGGATTTAGGCTGTTTGGCTACCTGGGGGGGTCTGTGTGTCCTTAGCATACCAACGGTTGACTGAGCCAGGAGAAGCTTTTCCTTCTCCAGGTGATGCATTGATACCTCCCCAAATAAATGCTGACACATTAAGAACTCAAAAAAGGAAAACATTTGGCTTTAGCAGTTACTCATCAGAAAGACAAAAAGTGAGTTTGTGTTAGTTAAACATGATTGGGTATTTTCACAGGTAGTTGCTGAAATATCTCAGTAAACGCAGGATCTAATTAATTCATTTTTCTCTAGACTGTGGGTAAGCATTCATGTTTATTAAAAGTTTGTGTTAGTTAAACATGATTGGGTATTTTCACAGGTAGTTACTGAAATATCTCAGTAAAAGTAGGATCTAATTCATTTTTCTCTAGACTGTGGATAAGCATTCATATTTATTAAAAAATCCAAAAGAATGAGGGAATTCATCTGTGCCATCAAATTTTAATGAAAGCAGAATAACATGGCACTAAATTTTTACTGTAAAGTGGTCTGTAGCCTTGTAAAATCTTGTCAGGAGCAGTTGTGATGGTGTCACTGCAGCCGCAGATCATAAATTTGAGTCTTGCCATAGACAGGTTTGAAAATAAATGTTGGTTTATTGACATGAAAGAAAGATTTTGGCTTTTTTCTTCATTCTTCTGTGTGATTATATAAGGATAAAAGGGAGAGAACTATCCATTTCTCCACACTGCATCTTCCCAAATGAAAAACGTGCTTGGTCAGATTATCAATACCCAAATTATTGTCTTCATTGTCCTGCTGTTCTCTTCATCCTATTGAGAGCTGCAAAAAAGAAATGAGGATTCAGCTTCTTATGTGACACAGAAAAAAACAGCCTCATGCATGGAGTTTCATGTAGGATATATTATGTACAAGTGCTCAAATTATTTATTGTAGTATTTTCTTAGGAATTTATGTAATTCTGGCAAAAGCACAACCCTTTTTTTTTTTTTTTTTTCCTCCCTACACTTTTCACTTAGCTAACCAAAGGTTTTATTAACCTGGGAATGAAGAACATGTTTTTGAAAGGGCTTAAGCAGTGGAATGATGAATGGAACTGTTCCCAAAGCATGCAGGTAAAGTGCTATCACGAGCTGAGGCTGCTTTCTGCTCCATCGCCCCAACAGGAAAATAGCGATATTGCTGCAATGATTCCGCTCAGGCTCTATTATTTGCGGTGGTGCTTGACAGTTATGGAGTTGGAATTCAATTTCTTTCATCTAAAGCAGGTGCACCTTAAAAAAAAAAATAAAATCACTCTGCCACTTCTGTATAAGGCATGGAGATCGTTGGCTTCTTGCCTGAAAGCATTTCAGGGCACTTATCCCATTTTCATCCAGCAGAAGTTGTCCATGAATATCATCCCATTTGAAATACACGAGCAAATTTGCTTTATCCCAAAGCAAGATAATAGATGATATGAAAAGCTTTATTTTATGATAGTATATACATTTAACAACCTGTTCTGAAGGGCATTTTATAGAAATCTCTATTACAAAGCACATAAAGAGATTGATGTTATTTTATTATTCAGGACAAGAAGAAAGGTGTTTCTTGATATTTGATATGACAGGTTAACTTTGATATTAACATCATGTATCCAAATTTTTTTTCCCAGTTTGACTCTAAAATGCCCTTCTTGACTTTTGGATAGTGAGGTATCCAGGCACTATTTGTGACTAGTACATGGCACATTTATTTTCTATTAAAAGATTCCTACAAGTGCCTGCTGGGATTTAGATAGGTTTAGTCAGAATAAAGATTTGAGGAAAAAAAAGTTTGTAATATCTGGAAGAGTGATATATGTTTATTGAGTCCAAATAAAAAATTATGTGCATGTCTGTGTCATATTACATATTTCCATGTGTGTATATACACATTTATACTGAAATGTCTATCTGGATTTTAGGTGTGCATACTTTTATGTGGAAGTTTATATATGTATATAAAAATATATGTACATATATTCACAAATAGTCTGACCAGCAGATGTGTACAGCTTGATACTGCTTGTATTTGACTTTCCCTTTCTAATCTTCTATTATTTCCGTTTACTTGTCAAATAATTTACAAAGAGACAAGCTGGATTTTCAGAAAACTCCACAGGTGACTGACTTGTACATTGACCGATGCTGAATGCAGCTTGGATAACTTGATCACCCTTGATTTGTGGTTTAATGTCTCTTAATGTATAAATGAACTAAGTAATAGTGATGTGAAGGTCACTAGCTGTAGGATTGTCTTAATATGAGAAATAGTTTATTAAAGGCACTGTGTATTTTCAGGCTGTACTGAAATCAATAGTGTGTTTAATCTTTGGGAGGTGCTCACTGGGTTCATTCCTGGGGAATAGATCGCCAGTTACTGTTCCATTCACTGGTAAATTACAGAGTTAAAAATAACTTCTATAAGATTTACCTTTTTTTAATTATTGTTTTCTGCAACAGGCTATAGTTCTCAGTACTTTTCTGCCTTAGAATAAATATTCAGGAGACAGACAAGTTCAGCACATTAATATTTAAACTCTTATTGGGAAAATACACCATCACGATAGCTTGTAATGTAGTATTATGTACCATTTATATCTAACTAGATAACATTGTTTAGCTTAAATTAGTTCTGTTGGCTTAATTAATGCTATTACTTTAATCCATTTAGGAAGGCAAAAACAACAAGGAAAGCGTGATGGTATCAGTTTGGACAACAGATACAATATCAATTCCAACTTCCCCCAAAATTCCCTGTTGTACAAGTGATGCAGGGATTGTCTCAGCCTCTGTTGGAACTAATGCCGAAGTTTTTTACGGCGCTTCCATCGGAGACGAGGTTTGTTTAGCTGTTTTGTTTGGGTCACCCCTTGCAGCCCTGAACAAATGTGCTCTAATGGCAGGTTTGAATGTAAAAGTCAGCACCAGCATTTGTCTTCATGTCTGCCATGGAACTTGCTAAATTATCTGGATCTCTCAGAGTCAATACAAATTAAAAATACGCACAAGGTTTCTGAGAGAGTGATTGCTATTCTAGCAAGTTCATTAGCCTTCTGAGGAATGCTGTTGGCAGGCTTTGTTTAGCAGAAGTCCAAAACAAAGTAAACCAAAAATGTCACAAAATGAATTGCAAATCAATTGGCAATATAAACGTGAGAAATAGGATGTAGATGAAGAATAATTTAGGGAAATGTATATTGTTCCTCCAGGAATCTTAACTGCACTAGTGAGAACAATGCTAAAGATTACAGCAGAGAATGGGGAATAACTTGATTAAACAAATATGGGCCATCCAGCTTTTCCAAATACACTGGCAAAACCAGACTCCAGGCACTATTTAGTTTGTGGGGGGGAAAAAAAGGGTTCTTCAGTGAGGACTTTTATTTTTTTTCCCCTGTTCTCTGCTTCTATTCACATCAGACAATTTGATTGGACCTGTGACATTTTCAGTATTTCCACAGTAAATAATTCTTGCTCTGCAGATGCTAGGTGCAAAGAAAAGAAAAAGGACAGGGAGGATGGAACTAGGTGATCTTTAAGGTCCCTTCCAAGCTGAACCATTCTGTGAGTCCATGATTCTATTTCCTTAGTGGTTTCAGTCTTGTACTCTGAAAAATAAATGCTCTAATGAATATTTCACTCTAATTTTATGAGAATAATTTGAAGACCAAAAATTAAGTTTAAAGGAGGAAATCAGTGTCCTAAACTGGATAAGAAGCAATTACCTTGCATTCTTTTCCCCAGTTAAGTTCAGGTGCAGTCACCTAGAGCATCCCTTGTCAGCTGCTGCTGAAGGGAGGGAAGAGGCTGCTCCTTTCCAATTTAATCCAGGTTTCTTTGAGGAATTTTACATGTCACTGCTACTGTATTGTTCCCATTATTCGAAGATTCACAACAGAAACAGAGCAAAGCCTGAGTTTTAACTCCCATAGCAAAATGCAGTAGTAAATCCAGCAGGGGGGAGAGAAGGTTGCTGGTGACACAGGCAAGGCTGATGTGCTCAGTGCCTCTTCTTCCCTCTTCACAGAAAGGTTAAATGTGACAAAAGGTTTGACTTGATCAGAATTAGAAAGGCAACATGAATGCAAGAATAGGGAAGGAACTGCATATTTAGATTCAGAAAAGTCTGATTTAAGGTCTGTTTACAAGGTTAAATGGCTGGGCAATAACTGGAATTTGCATTTATGGCACGCTGTCTGCTGAGTATTAACTCCCCATATGGAACATCTCAGCAAACAAGAGGGTCTTTGCATGAAGCAGCTTTTCCAGGTCAAGAGATCCTCAGAGTTACCCCAGCATATTTAAAGATGCAGTTTCTAAACCAGCAGTGATTTGCTTTGAGAGCTCCCAAAGGGTATAAATAGTCCCAATAGGCACAGTGCATGTCTTTAGAGGAGGAAAAAAGAAGAAAAAAAAAGCAAGGGAATGTCAGCCAAGATTCAGACTAAGTTGGTGTCTGGGGAGATGCTAACATAAATTTTTAAACAATCAATTTATAAGCTCCTCAAGCTTAGTGAGGGAGGAAGTCACTCTGCCCACAAGAACAGATGTTTTTCACTTTAGGGAGACTTCTGATATGACTCAGACAGTCATAACAGTAACTGATTCATAATAAATCAGTAAGGAGCAAGGCCTGTTTGAGAAAAAATTATTCCTTGGTAATGTTATCAATAGTCTGTAGGTCCTGATTTTTCTGCTATTCACCACTTTCCTTAAAGGCAATGAAGTGTCACATTCTTGAACAATGTCACACTCTGAGGCAGTGCAAGCAGGCTTAGAATTAAAAATCTTTTTGATAAATGAGTGAAACAGCTTGAAATCCATAAAACAAAATTAAGTAAAGAGGATAAAGTTGGTGCTTTCAGAGGAAAAATCAACTGCACCAATGCCAAATGGGAAAGGAAATAAGTGCTAAAGTGTCAGGGCTGTGGGAAAGACAGGACTTATGCAGGGCTGTGGCAGAAAAAACGTAAATCTTTTTCTTTAAATGTATTAATCAGAGACAGGAGCCATTGGGGAGGCAGCTGCTGGGGGCTGGACTCAGCCACAGCACGCCAGGAAGGACATGGGGAAACTGGAGTTTGGACAGAGAACAGGGTTTGCAACTTGATGGGTTTGGCTCAGGAATATGGGATAAAATCAGGCAGCAGAGACTTGAGTTTCTTTCAGACATGGAAATGCTGCCACTGAGACCCGAGGTAACTTTTCCCTGTGCTCACCAGAAGTATCAATTTTACTCACAGCAGACTTTATGGTCAGTGTTAGGAAAGTCAAAACTGTGCCTAATACTAATCATGTAGTTAAACACTTGAACAATGACTGTGAGGTTTCCATGACTGACAGGCTTGGAGAAGTTGATTAAAGCTTATACAGATTGGATTGGGTGCAATGAACAGTCTGATAAATTAACTTTTGGGATGCTTATCATCCCAAGTTTTTTACAGAAATGTGGGTATGTGTAAAGTTTACTATAATCCAGGCTGGTAAGTTAGCTTTTCATTTCCACATCTCTCATAGTTTTGACTTTTTGGAGGAGTAGCTCATTTGCTTTCATATAACATAAGCCATGTAATTTATATCAGACACCACGAAATCCATAATTTTAATTACTAACTGAATTTAGCTTTCAGCAAGGCTCACAGATTGGAGGAAACCTGTTAAGTCCCTTTTATTCAGAACATTTCCTTCTTCACATCAGAGCAATACATGTCCATATCAGAACAGCCAATCAGGATTTCTGCAGAATAAGCCCTGAAACTGAAGAGTGCTTCAAACAGTCTTAAAAACTGTGAGAGT